CAACTATATTAGCAATTGCTCGCTGAATTGTTTCAAGATCCAACTGAAATAATCACCAGTCTCGAAATTTGGCAATTGATATTAGGCAGGCAGGTAAAAAGGGGGAAGATTATTTATTTGTCACACATAGCCGCCACAATCAAACAATAAATCCGACGATTTGCAAACAAAAGAGGCGCGAGCTCGTTCGAATAACGACCTCAAGCAAACCCAAAGAAACGACTTCAATTTTTTCTCTTTTCATGGCCCGAAAATGCGTGCACGTTGGCCAACTGTGTAACTGCTCTGAGTTATCGTCATGTCGAGAACGACACGCGATCCGGAGTTTGTCGTCGAAGTATATATCGTGCGGCCTATATAAATTTTCAAAAATTGACTGAATGTGAAAAATTTATCGCTACCGTCTGCAATCGACGTCTGGCAATCTGTTCAACCTAACGGTTTGATCTAACGTAGCAGTAAGAAAAATATGCCGTCTTCTGATGGATTCACCTTTGTCTCTGTAAGGCGGCTCGAAAAAAAGTTTCGTACGCCGAGGTTTACGGGTGACCTAGTGTGATGGCCGTTATCGATCGCTTTCCTAAGTGAATGATATTTTTCGTTTTTTTTCTTTTCAATATCGAGTGAAAAATGACTTTTTTTTTGCGGATTAACTAAAAACTAAAAGAAGAAATGACTGTTAACGGAAGAAAAATATATTTTTCGAATGAGAAAACTACATTGATGGTTATTCTTAGTTAATGAAAATTCAATTGATAATAGGGAATGGCATTTGACTGAACGGATTGTGCTCTACGTATTTAAAGCTCTATTATCGTTTCACACTTAGCTAATATTCGATATATCTCCAGGTGACGATCATTTAACTTGTCAAAAACGATTCCCAAATGGAAGGATTTGATAATGTATGGCATGCGGACGAGCGTGTGGACAATAGTCAAGATTAAATGAAATTAAGCTACTTTGCTCATAATAAATTGAGCACCGCGAGCTCTGCTGTTGTGTCCAAGTCATTAATCGACACGGATTTCCTTCTCGTGCGTACGAACTTCATCAATTATGCAACGGTGTTTTCCGTAAGACTGAACGTAGTGATTGGTTTCATTTAATTAGTTCGATGAGGATAAAAAAAAACTTTCTCAAGTGAGAATACAAGCTTATATTTCCGCAATATAACGCCCAGACAAATGAAACGGTAAGTCATAGAAGAGGGAAAGCTTATTTCTGCTCACTTTCTCGGCTAAGATATATGTGATTTTTTCTCTATCTCTGTTTATCTGACTGTTTGTTTGTCTGTCTGTCTCTATCTCCCTCTTTCTCTCTTACATATAATTTTATAATGCATCCATAGGGACTTTATACAATAAAATTAATCCGTATGAAATTTCTTCTTTTCTTAATAGTGCTCACCCCTTTTAATTAGTATTATAATTATATTAGATTGAAATTGGCCTGGTATATTTAGAGATCAGTCGAAAAAAACAATATTTTACAATACTTGTGTACGCATAAATTTTAACCTAAAAACATAGTCGTGTAAGATTATATTTTTGTCAATTTATCGATGAGAGATAATCTAATTAAAATTGAATGATTTTCGATTAAACAGCATCAGTCAGCCACGTGCTCTATAGATTTCCACTTGACTCGTCTCGTGAGCAATTTTTACATTAACCCGAATACAATTAAAAGTACCAACGACAATGCAATGTCGAAAGATATAATTTTATGTAAACTTTATGAAACGTTTAGTTATTACCGTGCGGCTGCTGCTGCAAGGTCATTAAAATTCATCATATTACGTTTCTAACTCAACTTCCGCTGATACAGATTACAGATTCAGATGAAGAGCATGAAAAATTTGAATGATATTATACAAACATTCAAATAACGACGTTCTAGTTTCGCATGTAGTAAAAGTGTAGATGCCTGGTCAATCAAATGCTCGGGTACCCCTAGCAAACTACGTGAGACTTTGTGAAGGACGGCGCGGCGTGCACGTCAAATCGACATACATACACACAAGTTTGATGGGCAAACGTGCAATCATCTTAATTACCATTTGACTGTGCATGGCGAGCACGACACGACATGCTCATTCGAGTGGCTAGCCTCGCGCTGCCAATCAGTGGCCGATCATTTACCCGAGGATATGCAAATTCTCTCTTTGGATGGATATAGACGGTGCGACACCTACTATATACCGAACGGATATATGATCCTCACGGCCGATCCAATTAAGCTCTTGCGCACTCTAAGATCAATGTATCGATAAACTACCCCCCTCCCCTCCGGTTATCCTGTTGACATGGCAACATCAAATTAGTTACAATACTTTTTAACTATTGCAGATTGGTGAGCTCGAAGTCACAAGATATTGACATTCGCTTTTTGTAATTGATATTGAAAAGTAGCGGCATGAGAATTTGACTGACAACGAGAAGATTTTTGCGATGTTGTATGCAAAAGTATCGAGACAAGTTTGCAAATCACTTCACATTGCAGCACCTTTGCATTTAGATGAATTTAGACGGAATGAATGTTATATTGAAATTGTAGTCGCATCGATTGAATTTTTGTCTCAATCATGATCGTAATTATATTAGAACTGTAGCTGAAGGTAATAATGCAATTCGACGATACGTATAATCTTTAATAATAGTTCCGGTAATTTATCATATTAATTATCTCATTGCAATGAAATGTAATAAACGAATGAATTTCTTTTGCAAATAAGCTCATACTTTGACGAAAAGTCAATATTTATAAGATGATTTCCTTTGTTCAAGTTGCAAATTCCTAACAAGTGTATAAGAATTGCCTTGGCCAAGCTTACTTTTTTATTGAAATAACCGGAAACGTGAGGTGGAAAGAAGCAAGTCCAACAATTAGGAATTCATCTACATCGCTTCAGATGTTAATATCCACAATGGCGACAGGGCAGAACGCGTCGGAGAAAGAAAAGTTTTGCAAGTTTGCCAAGAGAACCACGTCCTAGCCTGGTCACAATCGACCAGCGTAAGTTTGGGCGAGCCAAGATATAATTATAGGATCAGCCAGAGAACGAATACAAGTTGAAAACTCGCACGAGCGCTCCTAGTAAGCGGCAAACTTTTTTCCTCCTGACAAACGAACGTTTGAACCGAGGCAGAGAGCAAACCAAAAGTTTGTCTGTCCCGTGAACTATAGCCGCAAGGATATCTCGGCCGTTGCCATCGTCGCTGGATATTCTTATCCGGCGGCGACGGTAAGTATTCAAATTCACCAAAGACCTATTTTGCATTCTTATGTGCAGGGCTAATGCGCGAGCGTGTAAACTTTCAACACGACGTCGGATGCTAAATAGTTAAAAATATCGGCAGCCTTGCTCAGTTTCCCAACATTGAATAACATTAGTGTACAGCAGACACAAACGCTTGTTTGTCGATAATTGTATTCTCGTCTTTTGCTAATACTTCGCGCTCACGTCATAAGTGTGCCTGTGTATGGTCCACGCAGACACACGCACCTATTCAAAATTCGTGTTAGCGCGTTTGCGCCATTCAATTGCTTTTCACGCTAATCGCCTGCACTTGTATTTAGTGGTAGAGCGCGCGATGTCTCGATTACTACGTATGTCAGTTTTCTCCCGAGCGCGTTGTAGTATAGCAGCTCGTCCCCCTAAAAGAGCAACTTTTTGGACATATTCTTTTAATAATTAGCTACAGAAGAAACAAAATGAACAAACAGCTTTATTTCTGTAATGGCAGCTCTACTTGAGTGATGAGAAGTCAGTTACATCCGTGCGATTACGCTTTTACTCGGGTAAGTTTTCATCTTCCTTTTTACTACCTCTGGGAGGTGTCCTCGATAAGAAAACGTCACTTACAATCAGTCACGGCATTGATGTTGCAAAAGAGATCCGTGGGAAAAGAATTGCTCTCCTCATTACTCGCTCTATAGCTATTTTATGCTCTAGCATTGAAAAAAGCAGGAAAAGAGAGAAGAAGGTGGTAGTGCAATGAAATGAAAGGGGTTTGGGTTTACGCGTCTACGTAGATTACGATTGTATTATCTGAAAATATTTTCGGATCCGTGATTTCGACAGACAGATTTCAAATTTCAAATTATCTCATTTATTTTCGGTGCATTAATCGTATTTATAATTGAAGATAAATTGGCTATCAGATGTAATGCTTAGTGCATCTTTGCAAATAACATAGCTACTGTATTATATCCTATGGATTATCAAGTACAATGGTACAAGGTACAATTTCAAGCGTGTAATTTATCAATTGTTCAATATACGTAGTATAGATAATTCAACCACTTGAAAATTATTATGCAGTTCGATCGCGCAATCCTATTGTGTGAAACGCGTTAGTTAATCAATAGAAACAAAGAAGTAGATCAGATCATGCAAAGCTACACACAGCCAGCGAAATGTTGTTTTATGCACCCAGTCGTAAACGTGTCTCGCTCTTCGATAATCGTTAACCTAAATTGGTTCTAAATTTATTGGACTTTTTTTTACTGCGGCTGTCTACCTAAGCGTGCTTATTTAACGAGAAGCAGTAAAAATTGACTTATTTCGTTTTATAAAGCGTCATCCTTTCCCTTCTCTATCTCTCACGGAATAAATTTGAAAACTTGATAAGAAAAGTCGCTCTAATGAGTGTCTCATTTGAACGTTACACCCCGGAATTTGTAATGAAAACCTATTGTGTTATCTCAGCTGACTTGCCCAGTATTGTCTTTTGGTGTGAAATTCATTCCACTGATGCTCGTAAATTACGTGAGAAAACATAAGAAGTTGCAAAGTGTAATTGGTAATATGAAAAGATAATAGTGAAAGCCAAACTTGTGACTGAAATTTCTAACAAACAACTTTGCACGTTTGTACTAGTGGTTTACCATTGTGACGTAGATTTTATTCTTAAGAAGCCCTATCGATTTCTTTTTGAAAACTCCTCCAACGTATGTCTTACGATAAAAATAAGATATAATTCACTCACCAATAATCGTAGTGAGAATAAGGAAGCTAAGGGCGATGGCAATGACGATGGTGATGATGAGTTCGTAATCTTCACGGGAAAGTACATCGAGTTCGAAATATTCTTGGGGCCAGTTGCTGACGTTTAAGCTGGTATTGAGAGCTGCTGAGTCGTTCCACCATGATTCTGGTAAACTCGTGTTGTTTAGCAATGCCTCGGTGCCGGTGTGGCTTGGCGCCATTGTCCATGCCCGCCATAGCTTCTTGATGCCCATAGCACACTGTTGGCATTTGTTACGAATGAAATGTAAATTATCTCAAATCAATTCGTTGAATCTTCAGTTGTCGCATTGCGTACAACAACGCAACTTTATACTAACGCGTACGTACAACGAAGTCAAAATGATGGGCCAGTTTTTAAATCATTACAAGTTATATATATATAAATCGTTTAAGTTAATTTGGAATCAAAAAATCGAGCAGTTGTGTGGTGTGAAAAATATAGATGCGTTCTACCTTCGATGTTTTAGCCCTTTGCTTACTTATAATGAATGGAAGCAACAACTATGCACTGCAAACTAGAGAGATAGAGACGGGGTGGAACTCTGATTACTCGCAATTATTTCATTTGTGCAAGGTAGAGCAAGCTCCGTCAGGACAATTGGGGGGGAAGCGAACTTGCCAAAGGAGTAGTCGCGCGTAGCTACTCTAACTTGCTTAATTTAATCAAGCGAACTGCTGCTGCTGTTTCTTCGCCAGAAATTTTCTCATTCTACGACTGCACGTCCCTAACTTTCATCTTATCTCAATTAAAGGCATTGTGATTGATGATACTGCTTGGATAATCATTCGTTTCCTCGATGGCATGATCAAGATTGAATGTTACTCGAGGAGAAATTCCATATTCTAATATTCCATAGAATATTATTCAAAGTGAACACAATATTCTATTTACGCCGATAATAGGGTTAAAAAATAACAGGTCGGCGAGCATCTCGTTAAAAACGGCTTATAGAGTGGTCCGATTTCGCTAAGAATTACACGAAAATGTTTACATCGATGAATAATGTATTTTGGCAACAAAAGAGATTTTACGAAAACAGTATTACCTCAGTTAATCCGGGACGTGCTCCATCGGAGTGTTCACTGGCGAATCATGCCATCGTGAGCGAATTGTGCGACAAGGTTCTCCGAACATCTGAAATAAATAGAAAAAAATTAAAGTCTTTCAATGAAGCCGCGTTTGGCTAATGAACAAGATTTCTTTTTTGCGTTGGGGCAACGAACAGCGAGATAAATCGAACGAAGATTACTTATTGCCTATACGCTGATAAAAATGCTTTGCTATGGGGAGTAAAATTGAAAGAGGGGTAGATTTATCTTTTATCTTAACTTTTGTGATACCTTTGAGGATTTCTTAATGTAAGAGGGTAAGTATTATATGCGTATTTTAGATGAAAAAGTTAAATGTATGTTCCGATATTTTATAGAATTTGAATTTTCACTTTCGCGAGGTGATCCATGCACTTTTTATTTCTGCGTGAGAAAATTAAATTTCGTGGTGCTGTGAATTTATGATAAAAGCTTCTCTGATGAAAATTCGGTTGGTGTAAGTTCGAGTAATTGAAATGAGTGTTACGAAATTGAATTCTAAGTCTGTATGACATTGCGTTTGTTATAACGTTATCCGTCTCAATTCAATTACCTTGCGGTCTCTTTCGAATCTAAAATTAAAATTAAAATTTCAGTTTTCAAAGCGCTAATTTAAAATTTACAAATTTCATGAATATGTAAGTTGTAAAGTATTAGAAGTTAAATATCCATACTCAAGTCTGAGCATAAAACTTTAATATAGAGTAAGAATTAAAATGACAGAGTTCCGCGTAAAAACCAATGGCACAATGAAACCCGAAATATTCGACATGTATTGAGATGTTGCATAGTGAATAGCTATAGTATGGCACAGTTATATACACAAGTATTCAAAGTTTACTTTGTGGTCGTACATCCACAGGTGTTGGTCTTACAAAGGACATCCATGGAATGTCGAGAGTCCTGAGAATCCTTAACACAGAAGAGAAGCTGCGGTAAGCAAACTACGCGAGTGACTATCCCTATGAATATAACGTTTGCCGAATTACAATGATGAAGGTAAACCAATTCGACTGAATATGCGAAGCAAAGCGGATTGGAGTTTATTAAATTTCAAAATGAGTGTTTCCCATTTTCTCATTGATAAGGTAAAGCGAAATCTGATTCAAACTATCTTGTTGGCCAGGTAAGAAAGCAAAGTTACAGGGGTTGCACGACAAAGAGAAAACCCTCAAGGCAGAGAATCATTCATTCTCTGCTTCCCAGCAGTTTTTCCAATCTCGGTCTATGTGAAAAACGTGTTCCCTCTTTTATCAGAGAGCGAACGAACTTCCTCTCTCTGATTAAAATTTTTTCCCGCGGAATTGAAATAATTCAGCGATCGGTTAAGTGAAAAAATTGTGCGGCTCGCTGCTACAGCAGTGTTTGCTAGCGTCCTGTAAGAAAGTACCTTTTGCCAACGTAAGCGGATCAGGTAAAATGAGTTTTTCACGCGTTGTCCAGCTAAATGGAAAATGTTCGAAGCAAAGAACTTATATACTTTTTTCTCCTTTTCATCATTCGTACCGTAATGGAAGTGTAATTAAATGAATTTCTATCTTCCCCGAAAATCCGATATGAAGATGATTTTTTTGATCGAACCGAACGAATCATATACCTTTGACCTGAAATATGTATACGCGCATTGGCCAAAAGTTTATTAATTAAGTGGCAGCGTCGGTAGGTATTGTTGTGTTCCATTAGCATATGTGCAGGCGAGTCAATAATTGGAGTTTGGCTTCTCCAGAGGAAATAGGCAGCGACGATTTTGCCACGTGCGCATGCATATGAATGTGCGCCAGCACTCGGCTCGCATTAAGATAATCGAGATAATAAGCGAACGCTATACGCTACGGCTGACAACAAAGCCACGTGTACTTTAGGCCACGAGCGAGAGATACACCGAGAGGGAGATCGGTTTATTTGATTTATCGAGGCCAAGGACCAACACCCACGTACGCGACAACGTGCGGATTAATTGTACTTGAGAGTCCATTGTAACTATCCCTCGGATGGTAATGCACTATTGCTTTGGTTGATGCGTTACTTGATATGCATGCGTACCGATGGATCGCGTTCAATGAATTTCCCGATTAAATCACATTCATCGAATTTACGCTCGAGTTCCTTATTTTTCTTTCAACTACCGAATTCAAAAGGATATTTGGGGTTCTGTTGGGCCATTTCTTTTTGCACGAAACTTTGTCATTTCAATACTTACTCTATACTTCAGTTTTACAATAAAAAATTCTGAGCTATGGATAGTTTTTTGAATTCAACTGGAAATGAACAAAGTGAAAAGCAGATTGACCGGGTTTTAACGGGACTTATAGAAAAGCCGTTTATAGCTAGCTGTAGCTGGCAGCTTCATCCTATTATCTCTCGAGCCCGCAAAACTTCATGAGCTGCTTGTTCTCAACTGCAAACTCACTTGCGTGTCTCTAATTACATGAAGACGTCGCGCATGAATTAACGACGCACCACGGCATAAAATGATCGCCGACACGCCGACACTCTCTCTTTCTTAGCTTTGTAACAGTGAATTAATTAATTTAACCAAGACGCCCAACTATTCAAATAATCCATTATTGAAATATTACGCACGATTTTGCAAAGCTTCTGTTGTAATCTAATGAGCAAAGTCGCCAGCATCTGGTGTCTCGTGGCGTTAACGTTTGACGGTTGTATAATACTGCCGATAAAATTCCGACCGACGAAGGCATCGATTATTCTCTGACGTGTTGACGCGAGTGCTGCTGGCAACGGGCGACGAGCCTCATTGAATTCGAACGCTCTTATACTTTCGGTCAACTTTTGTCGATATTTCTAGACCAAGTTTTATTACGTTCAACAGCCGTCATTGTTCCTCAAATGGATCTTCATTTTAATTTTTGAATCCAAGCTGACATTTTATTCTCGGTAAGCGAGTATAATACTTACAGTCACGTCTATTTGTTCGTTTATTTATAGGTCTGCTTGCCTCAAGTGAGTTTGATGACTTTAATTAGAGACTAATTTGTAAGCTTTCTCGTGTAGTACAATCACATTTGTGCATATGTTACGAAGGTCTCATTAAGCCAAACAATACTGAACAACTGTTGCTCCAAATTTTGAGATTATTGTTGTGGAATTAGATGCACACGGCTACTGACGCATACGCGTTGCAAGTTTGTAACTGTAATATTCGGCTAATAAATTTACGCCCGCCTGTGTATACATAGTAAAGATAAACTACTCTTCGAAACTTGACTAAGCAAATTAAGGATGATTTTGTTCATAAGATCACTTCTAATATTTCCATTATAATTATATTTTAGATTGATATCATTACATCAGGCTACCATTGAAGTACTACTTATTTCATTTACATTTTGATTGTTTTATTAATGAAATTACTGAAAATGCTGATCCTATTGATCAAAATTAAATTGACTTTTTATAACTATAGAAGTAGAACAAATCAGTGAATTCAGTTCAGATCTCTTTTATTGAGATCAACTAATCGTCGAGGTGGTAGCCGCAGTAGAGATCTTAAGTTTTGAAGGCGACAGGTAAAAGTCAGAGAAAGAGAGTTCGTGTCGGCAAGGAATGATTGAAAAGGTAGTGCTCGGCGATTTCGATAGAAAGAAAGGTCTAAGCTAGAGAAGCTTTTTGGTAAAGAGAGAGAGAGAGAGAGAGAGAGAGAGAGAGAGAGAGAGAGAGAGAGAGCGAGAGAGAGAGGGAGAGTATTCGAGTCAGGCGAGTGAACCTATTAGTTGGTGTTGCACGTGACTGGGTTAGTGCAATCGAGTAACAGACACACACACGCGCGCACACGCGCAAGGCTTCACGGGCCGTTGCACTTTCTCGAGAGCTTTTCCACTCTCTTAATGGCCGGCTTGGGTGAGCTTGGGGATATGTCTTTTAAGATTCCAAAGCGTCGAGAGCGCATTTCAATATCCACTGCTCCCTTGAGACGAATTTTTCCCACGATCTCATTTTTAAACCATCATTATGCATTTGTCATCGGATTGTGCATCAAATTTGAAGTGCCGGCTTTGATTTGGTACTTTATTATATTCAATATCATTTTCGTTTCCATTTGCGAGTCGTTGATCTGCAAATTCGGTTACAACTTTACATTTGAAACGATAAACTTTAACGAAATAATTTATGTGAGTATTCCGTTTAAATATCATTCTATTATAATACATATCTCGACTATAACACTGGAAAACGTTTGTAATTTCAAGCTCACGCAAGTACGCCGGGTTTACGTACACACGTATGAGACGAAAACTTAACGAGTCATTTTCGCCCAACGTAAACTTAAACATAATACCGGCGAAACGTTAAAGCATTAGAAAGTCAAGTCGTAATATTTCCCTCGGTTCACTTTGTCTGTGAGGCTATACACGTGCGTGCGTAAAGCCTGGTTCTTTTACACACGCCTCGTATATATCATACGTGTATATGGGAGTGGTCTGTTATAATTCACTTGACCTCTTTCAAGGCTAGCGCACGCCTAACAACCATGAAGAGCTTTCCGGCCGTGTGAAAATTCGAGACGCGCGCATCTTTCAATAGCCTTGTTTATTACTCTCGGGATTCTTCAGTTAGAAGAGTCGCGTAGAAGCTACAAAACTGAATGGCGTATAGGCAGACGCTCCGACACGTTTATATATATATATATATATATATATATATATATATAACACTCGGAGTTATAAAAAGAGGATAGCACGTTTTACGCTCGCCGCGCGCGAGCGAAACGTCCGTCAAATGTCAAATTGCATTTCAGCTACATAATCCCACGGCATGGGCCTAAAGAATGCAGACACGCGCGTTGGAAAAAAAACAACTTTGCACGTACATCTCATATCTGTTGCGTGGTTAAATGGATACTCCGGTGTTTCATTGTAGGGTCTTCCGTAAAACAGGGAGAAGAGAAGGGAAATTGAAAAACTGAGAAGAGTCTGAGTTCGGTATGAAAATGTACATCGAAGATATTATCAAGCTTGTAGTGAGACAATGTAAGTTCAATGTCATATTTCAGCGAAGGAGACGACCGGAAACGCTGATTTCATC